GGTGGCTACATTGGCAGCGGCGGCGCTTCCCGGCCCCCAGGACCACGGCTTCCTTCCTCCCAGGTAGGTCGCCAGTGGTGTGCATGCCTCTTCCCTAAGCCTATCCTTGAGCGGGTCTCCCCGTACCAATTTGAACCATGTCCTGGGACACCTCCGCATCACCTTCCCAGTCCTCCTCTTGTTGTGTCCCCCGCCAACATCTTCCCTCCCTGAAGCCCCGGGACCTGGGCAGGGCTTTATCCGAGGCCTTTTGCCGGGTGGGGGTGAGATGGGGAGCGCGGAAGATGCAGGATCCCCTTCCGTCCACACAAGAAGAGATGCACATGGCCCCTGAGTGTCACCGAATCCCCCTTCTGCCCTCCACAAGGAGCTACTCTACCTTGGAAACCAGAGTCCCCTCCCCCTGCCCCGTTTGATATGTGGGCCTAGAATGCACATCATTTGATCATCACCCGACCGGACCGTTCACAGCATCCAAGATACACGGGCGTTCACTCACCGCGGGTCACAGCTGTGCTTGTGCACCCAGAACACCTACTCGCATGCGCAGTTGGGGGCTCAGTCTAATGTATCTGATGTTCACATCCTTTCCCGGACTCCCAGTACCAGCTGTGGGTTCAGCAGCTCCAAACTGAAATAGGATGCTCAAGTCCGTCCCCTTGGGCATGGGCAGCCCCATGGACACCCTTCTCTCTCTGTGTCCTTCCCCTTGGCAGATCTGTCCATCTGTCCACCCATCTGTGGGGGTCCACAATGGCCACCTTCAGCCGCCAGGAATTTTTCCAGCAGCTACTGCAGGGCTGTCTCCTGCCTACTGTCCAGCAGGGACTTGACCAGATCTGGCTGCTCCTTGCCATCTGCCTCGCCTGCCGCCTCCTCTGGAGGCTGGGTAAGTGCCTTGCACACTGCGTGCCGCCATGCCAGACCATACCATATCTGCCGTGTTCATCCATACCAAGCCACACCTCACCCTGCTACACCCTGCCACGCCAAGCTAGATCTAACGTGTTCAGCCCCATCACATCCCACCAGCCCAAGCTTCATGCCACCTTACCACATCCTGCTGTGCTCAGCCACCACGTGCCATACCATGCCAAGACACATCCTATCATACCAAGTCATGCCCTTCAGTATTTGTGGGCTCTAGGATTCTGGAAAGCTGAGGTTCTTGGATCTTGTGGTCCTGAAATACCCACATCCCAAGGTTGTTGTGGAATGCTGATATCCAGGGTTATAGAATCTCAAAATGCCACGGTTACAGCATATACAGATCCCGACAAGTTGAAATTCACATTCTGGGCTTCAGAATGTTAGCATTCTGGATTTCTAGAGTCGGGACATGGTGAGGTTTCTGCATAGCAGGCCTGTATCCAAAGGATAAGGTTCAAAGTCCCCAAGGTTCCTATAGGATGCAGATTTTTCTGGGAATCTAAAATTCAAAGGCTCTGCTGGGTTTTTCTTCTCTTTATCTTAAGCGAATGTCTCATTTTTTTCCCAGGTGTATTAGTGTTAGTATTTTGTGGTGTTTGGCATCTAACCCAGAGCCTCATGCATGCTAAGCAAGCACTGTGCCGTTGATGCTACCTCCACAGCCCTCCCAGGTTTATTATTTTGACATATTTCAAAGCGTGAAAACTGAAAAGTTGAAAAAAAAACCAGTACAACAAGCACTCGTATATGCTTCAACAACTTCTCCAACTGTTAGTATTTGGCCATACTAGCTTGCTTTATCTGTCTACCTGTCTATCTACCTGTCATCTTCCTGCATCACTTGAATAACCTGCTGATATCATAACACTTCAGTCCAAATCCTTTAGTATGTGGCCACCAGTAAAAAGAATGTATTTTCCCACTACTATATCTTTAACCACCACTCTCTAAAATTTTAATGTGGATCCAGTAACTTTTTTTTTTTTTGGTACCGGAGATCAAATTCAGGTCCTTGTACCTTCCAGGAAGGCAGCGGAACCACTGAACTAAATCCCTGGCCCTGGATGCAGTAATTTTTTGAGACAGGGTCTTGCTTTGTAGTTCAGGCTGGCCTCAAACTCACTATATAGCCCAGGCTGACCTCAAACTCATGGCAGTCCTCCTGCCTCAGCCTCCCAAGAGCTGGAATTACAGGCATGTGTTACCACACCCCCAGATATAATACTATTATTATCCAGTATAAACTCACACTGAATTTCTTCCAGCGTCCCCCAGAATGTCCTTTATAAATGTTTCTTTTTCTTTTTCTTTCTTTTTCATTTGGGGGAGGGTTTGAGACAGGGTCTCATTATGTAGTTGAGACTGACCTGGAACTCACTATGTAGCCCAGGCTGTTCTCGACCTCACAGCGATCCTCCTGCCTCAGCCTCCCGCGTGCTGGGATTACAGACGTGCGCCACCACGCCCCGCCATGTTTCTTTTTTTTTTAAACCCAGACCCTACCACCCTCTCCGGCTCCCCAGTATCAGTCATGGGCCCCTTCCAGTCCCCACCACATTGTGACTTATAGGCTGTCCCCTGTGCCCATGTGTTCTTCCCCCTCCTACCAGCCCACCAACCTTTGCTTTCTTGTTCTGTCCCTCTCTCTCCCCTCTCTCCCTCCCCCAAAGGATTGCCATCCTACCTGAAGCATGCAAGCACCGTGGCAGGTGGCTTTTTCAGCCTCTACCACTTCTTCCAGCTGCACATGGTCTGGGTCGTGCTGCTGAGCCTCCTGTGCTACCTCGTGCTCTTCCTCTGCCGACACTCGTCCCATCGCGGCGTCTTCCTCTCTGTCACCATCCTCATCTACCTGCTCATGGGGTATGGCTGTGCTTCCTCATCCTCATGCTGTGGGCAGAAGTGTGGGTGGCTCCCTGAGATACCTGGTGTGGTCGTTCGAGGTGGGGAGGTTTGGACAGTCCAGGGAGAAAGAAGGTTTTCTGGGAGAGTTGTTCTAAGTGGAGGTACTGAATGGGGAGAGTGTGGAGTGTTCCCAGAGGAGAGGACCTGCGGGGCTTGTCCTTCCACCATGCCACACAGGACAGGTGGTATAGGCTTCCTCTGGAGGAGGGAGCCTGGGACAACTTTCCTCCATGAGGTTGTGTGAGACAAGGGAAGGGGGAGCCCTCTGGGCACTTTTATGTCCCCCTCCCATGGCCTCAGAGGCCATGGGGGTTGTGGGGCCAAGACCAGCACCTTTTCCCCTCAGTGAGATGCACATGGTGGACACCGTAACGTGGCACAAGATGCGAGGTAGGTAGCCCTGCCCCAGCCCTCCTATCCCCTCCATGATTCCTCATTGAACCCACCCTGAGTCTTTCCTCCGCTTCTCTCCCTCATCCACCACCCGACAGTACAGGCCTGACGTTCCCCTTGCCTCTGAGTCTCTCTACCATGTTTTCCCCCACGAGTCGGAGTGTCCTATGTTAAGTATGTGCCTGTCCTGGCTCATGTGTCCACCTGCCTGTCTATCCCTGCGCCTGTGTCCCTGCTCATGTTCCCCTTTTTCCTCACATCTCTCACTTGGTGCACCCTCTCCCTCCGTGCTGACCTGCTTTCTTGCCTGTCCACTTGACCATGGGCCCAACACATAGGGGCCCAGATGATTGTGGCCATGAAGGCAGTGTCTCTGGGCTTCGACCTGGACCGAGGCGAAGTGGGTGCTGTACCCTCACCTGTGGAGTTCATGGGCTACCTCTACTTCGTGGGCACCATCGTCTTTGGGCCCTGGATACCCTTCCACAGCTACCTACAGACTGTCCAAGGCCGCCCACTGGTGAGGTCCTGGGTGGACAGATGGGCAGGGACTGTGGGAGCCACCAAAGGGCAGTGCTCATGGATCCTTCATCCCCGCAGAGCCGCCGATGGCTGCAGAAGGTGGCCCGGAGCCTGGCACTGGCCCTGCTGTGCCTTGTACTGTCCACTTGTGTGGGCCCCTACCTCTTCCCCTACTTTATCCCCCTTGATGGTGACCGACTCCTTCGCAAGTGAGCACAGCCTTTGAGGCCCCAGCCCAGCAGTGAGGGGGTTGGGTAAGGGCCTGGGGTCTTCCCAATTCTGAGCCTGTCTCTTAATGCTTCTGTCCTCTTCTGTTGCTACAGCAAGAAACGCAAAGCCAGGTAAATGAGGGCAGGTGCTGAGGGCAAGTAGGGTGCCTAGGGGCGGGGCAGGGCGTAGGAGCACTTGCTTCTGGAAGCCTGACTCTTCCTGACTGTCCACCCCATGACTAGACAGAGACTGGGTATCTATCTGCAGCTGTCTATTTGACCAAGATTGGCTCTGTGACTGCGTGTGACTGACCCTGCAACACATACTGTGTGTCTGGCTATCCACTGGTCATCTCTTTCATCATTAGGAACAAGTTATGTGGCCGTCATTGGGAGTGACAAGTGTGCGTTAGTTGGTGACTCTGGCCTATCTGCGACTGTGGTTAGGGGGATATATGGGTTGTTAGCCTACGGCCCCTGACTCCCCATATGTAGAACTGAGAGTTCTGGCTGGCTGGCTGTGTCACTGTCATTGATGGGGTATGGGGAGGATGGCTGTCATTGGCTAGGGTGGATCTGAGTGGATGATTCTGGCTTCGTGGTAACTCTGGTCTGGCTGTAGCATGCTGTGTGCCTGTCTGTGTATCTGCCTGCTCTGACTGCTTGGTTTTGGCTAACCGCGGGGTTGTGACCAACTAGGAACCTGCACCTGTCTGTGGGACTGACTGCCTGACTCTGCTTTGACCTGGGATTGGATCTGGCTGTGTGACTGTATGGCCCTTCCCACTTCACTGGCTGCTAATTATGTCTGCTGATGAATGAGTTTCCAAAAGTCCAGTGACTTCACCACTGTCACCCAGGCATGAATCCCAGGCCTATTTTCAGACCTTATGCTTTGACCCATGCAGGATGCTCCCCAGTTTTGGACATGTCTGATTGTAAAATTGACAGAATGTGTGTGTGTGTGTGTGTGTGTGTGTGGTTTGTTTTCACACGCTAAATGGTTCAGAGCCACACTAAAGGGTTTTGACTGACTTACGGTTACTGAGTCTGGTACAAGCTTCAAGCATGGGAGTCTGATAACCTTCATGGCTGGTGGTGTGGTGTTTTAGCTTGCAGGACTGTGTCAAATCATAGGATGGCTCATGCATCTGTGTGGGCCACATGAAATGAACCACCTGCCAGTGTATGTGTGCATGTGACTATCATAGTCTGCTTCTTTTGCCACTGTGTTTCTGCCTGTCTTGTCTATGAACAACTCAGCCCAGCCTCCATGACCTCTCTGACTCTTTTCTTTCCTCTCTATTGCCTTCCTGACCTCTGGGGGCAATAGGGGCACCATAGTAAGGTGAGTCCACTGAGCCGGACCGGGGATGGTAACACATGGTGGGGTATCATGGAGGGCCTGGGCTCATGCCTCTCTCCTCTGCCCCTTTCTCTCCAGGTGGCTGCGAGCCTATGAGAGTGCAGTCTCCTTCCACTTCAGCAACTATTTTGTGGGCTTTCTGTCTGAGGCCACAGCCACACTGGCAGGGGCAGGCTTCACCGAGGAGAAGGATCACCTGGAATGGTGGGAGGGACCGAGGGCCCACTCTCCCCCAGGGTGCTCCCTAGGGGAGCAGCAGGGAGGAGGGAGGGTGCTCCCAGGGGAGGGAACAGCTGAGACAAAAGTACAGCAGCCAGATGGATTGAGATCCCAATTAGATTTGCATGGTTCTTTTGCCCACAGGGACCTAACGGTGTCCAGGCCACTGAATGTGGAGCTCCCCCGGTCAATGGTGGAAGTTGTCACAAGCTGGAACCTGCCTATGTCTTATTGGCTAAATAACTGTGAGTCACCAAGTCACCACTGTAGGAGAATTGGTAACCCAGGAGGCCTAGTCACATATTTATGTAACAGACATTTACTGAGCAACTACTGTGTACTGGGCACCAAAGATGCAGCAGGGCCAAAAAAAAAAAAAAAAGCACAAAGTCACTGCCCCAGAGGAACTGCCATTTGGTGGTAGAGCAGATAATAAATAAGAAAAAAAGCACACTAATTCAGCTGTAGGCTGGGCATGGTGGTGCATGCCTATAATTCCAGCATTTGGGAGGCAGAGGCAGCAGGATCACCATGAGTTCAAGGCCCACCTGGGCTACACAGTGAGTTTAAGACCAGCTTGGCCCGAATAGTGAGAGCTTGTCTCAAAAAAGTTCAGATGTAATAAATGTGTCACACTTCAATGTAAAAAGTGTTACAATGAAATAATTTAAAAAACTCAAATTATAAAGAGCAAGATAAAACAGGAAGTAGGGAGATAGATCTTTCTCAAATGGGAAGGGGATCAAAAGATGGAGGGAGGGAGGGGAAAGGGGATGAAAAAAGGAATTAAGATGTGTCACGTACATATAAACTCCACACTAGGAATGTAAGCATTATGTACTGCAAATGTGCACTAATAAAAATTAAAGAGAGAAATACTAAAGCAGGTAAAGGCGATCCAGGAGTATTGGCAGGCATACAAGGCAGTGTTGTAATTTTGCACAAATTAGCCAGGGCAAATATCACTGAGGATGTAATATCTGAGGAAGGTGAGGCATAAAGAAATGCAGACAGGCTGGCTGGGAGGCTGAGGCAGGAGGATCGCTGTGAGTTCAAGACCAGCCTGGGCTGCATAGTGAGTTCCAGGTCAGTCTCAACTACATAGTGAGACCCTGTCTCAAAAAAAAAAGCAGATATGTGGGGGGAAAATCCAACAGATGAGGAAGCAGCACTACAAATGCCCTGAGGCCAGAGCTTGCTTGGTGTGTGAGAAATGAATGGCTGGAAGGTCATTTGGGTCTGGAGGTGGAGCTTGTGCTTCGTGTGTGCCAGGCCCTGGGCTCCATCCCTAGCACCATGGGGTTGGGGGAGAAGGGGAGAAGGTCACTGGGGAGGACAGAGTAAGTCAGAGTGCCAGTGCTAGGACATGAGCTCCAGGAGGTCCTGTAGGGCCGTGTGGGCCATGGAAAGGCCCTTGGCTTTTTCTCCAAGGGTGACAGGAATTCCTCACGGCAGGGCTCCATGTTGTAACAGGATCCCTCTGGCTGCTGGGGGACACACTGAGGGCAAAGGTGAGGCCAGATGCAGCAGTCCAGGCCAGCGACAGTGTTGGCAGCAGGATGCAAGGACGGGAGGTATAAATTCTAAAGGTGGAGCTCAGGGGATTTGCTAAGGATTCAGATTAAGGGAGATTGCAGATCCAGGGTGATTCTGAAGCGTGTGCCCTGAGGTCCCTGAACAATTTGGGAAGACTGTGGGAGGAGCAGGCGGCCAGAGAGGTTCAGAAGCTAGGATTTGAGCAGGTGAGGATGGAGATCATCATCAGGACTTTAATCCCAGGGGCCCCAACCAATTGTGGGTGTTCTCATCCTGCTTGTGGCTCTTGGGAATGGCAGCAGAAATCTCTGAAGAATCCTGACCTGCATCTTTCCCCTCTAGATGTTTTCAAGAATGCTCTCCGCCTGGGCACCTTCTCAGCCGTACTGGTCACCTATGCGGCCAGCGCCCTCCTGCACGTGAGCAAGGTGGAGTGGGATGGGCACGCCGGGTGGGTGGCAGGGCCTCCTCCTCACTCACTTCCTTCCCCCCTGGGCTCCCAGGGCTTCAGCTTCCACCTGGCTGCCGTACTGCTGTCCCTAGCGTTTATCACTTACGTGGAGCATGGTGAGTGCCCGACCTAGTCCAGCAGACAGATGGAAGGTCCGTGGGAGACCTGGAGCCACTGTCCCCTGAGGCTAACCTGATCCCCTTACCTCCCCGCACTGCCCCAGTCCTCCGGAAGCGCCTGGCTCAGATCCTCAGTGCGTGCGTCTTGTCGAAGGCTTGTCGACCAGACTGTCCACACCGGCATCGCTTGGTGAGGGTTCCGCCTGGGCAACCTCGTGTCCAGCCCTCGCCCTCAGAAATGTCACTTCTGTCTCCATTTCGTATCTGTCACAGGGTGCCCAGATTCCTTTTCTGGTGCCAGAGCCAGGCATCCTCGCCTCTATTCACTAGCATTTGTTTCTCTAATAGGCATTTTTGAACACCTGCTACATGCACACGTGGCGTGTGTGCCCTCATTGGATACTTAGTGAGCACCTGCTGGTTGTAGATTGCTGGAAATACAGCAGTGAACAAAACAGGCCAAAGTGTGGCCCAGCGGGACAAACATTTTAACAGGGGAGAGAATAAAGTAAAAACTGAGTTAATGAAATCTAGCAATAGGTTGTGAATAGTGTTAAACATAGGGCAAGGGAGTGGGAAGTATGGGGGTTCTCTTTTAAATGAGAAGGTCAGGGACACTTCCCAGGTAAGGGGACTTCTGAGTTCTTGCAGTGAAGGAGGTGAGGGAGGAAAGCGTCCCAGGCCGGAGAGACGCCCATCTGGAGGCCCCAACGTGGGAGCGGGCCTGCAGTCTGAGGAACCATGAGAGGCCAGTGTGGCTGGAGCAGTGAGCCAGGGGAGATGTGGGCCCTCCAGGTCACAGCGGGAACATATTTTTGTTTTGTTGTTGTTTTTACTGTTTGCCATAAGAAATAAGGACAACCTCACATAGTTTGTGTCCACGTGGGATCAATGTCTGTCACCTTAAACCCTGGCTCAGAGCCCCACTATTCTTGCTCCTCCACTTGAACACTCAGATTTCCTTCAGCCTGGACGTCCTCATGGTTCACAGCACCCTCGCCCTCTGAGCTCCCTTAAGGGGCTCCCTGAGCCATCTCTTTCCTGTCTCACCTGGGCATCCCTATTCCTGGGACCCACGGTGCCTTGCATATCCCGCTGGGCTTCCCTGTGCAGGCGGCGGTGGGGACAGCGAGCAGGCGCACCTACCAAGCGTGTCCATCTGTCCCCCACAGGGCCTGGGGGTGCGAGCCTTAAACTTGCTCTTTGGGGCCCTGGCCATCTTCCACCTGGCCTACCTGGGCTCCCTGTTTGATGTTGATGTGGATGACACCACAGAGGAGCAGGTGAGGTGGGGCCCCGGCTGGAGGGTAAACCAGGGATGGCACTTCCTGTTCACGGGCAACCTGGGGACAGGGAGATGGAGGGACAAGCTCCTTGGCTGAATTGCTTAGCACGTGCAGTGAGTGTGCCTCGCCCTCCCTTTCCCAGTGTCCCTCTGTTGGAGTCACACGGTTGGCTCTCTGAGTGAGATGTAGAAAGTTATTTATTTATTTTCCTTTCAGAATTTATTATAGGATGGGTGTGGTGATGCACGCCTATAAGCTCAGCAAAATGGGAGACTCCGGCAGGAGTATCCCAAGTTTGATCCCAGCCTGGGCAACTAAAAGACTTAGTGAGAAATTCTCATTAAATAAATAAATACATAAATAAAAAGGGCTGGGGATGTAGCTCAGTGTGAAGGTCCTGGGTTCAATCCACAAACAAAAAAATTATTTTATAAAGATGTTATACAAAACCCAGGTTTATTTTTTAGATTATTTATTTATTCAATTAATTTTGTTGTTGTTGTTGTTGTTTTGAGATAGGGACTCACTACGTAGCCCAGGTTAGCCTCAAACTTGGAGCGATCCTCCTGCCTCACCTTCCCAAGTGCTGAAATTACATGTGTGTGCCACCATGCCCAGCTCATTTTTATTTATTTTATTTATTTATTTGTTAGTAGTGGGGAATTTGCTCTGCCATTAACTATACCCCCAGACCCAGTATTTCACTTTTATTTTGGTTTTTTGGTATCGGAACTAAACTCAGGACCTTACGTTTATGAGGCAAGCGAGATGCCACTGAGCTAAATCCCCAGCCCTGTTTTATTTTGCTTTAAGCCAGCACTTTGAGAATCTTAGGCAGGAGGATTCCAAGTTTGGGTCTGGCCTCGGCAACTCAGGAATCTAGTGAGAACTTGTCTCACTAAAATAAAAAATAAAAAACAAAAAAAGGGCTGGGGATGTAGCTCAGTGAGAAGGCTCTAGGTTTCATCTCTAGTACCACAATAAATAAATGAATAAAATAAAAATTACAATAAAAAAGTTCTGAGGATGTAGCTCAGTGTGAAGACCCTGGATTCAATTCCCAGTACTGCCCCCGCCCAAATTATTTTACTCAGGTTGACTGTGCAAACTGAATTTTTCTTTTTCTTTCCTCCCTCCCTTCGTTCCTTTTTTTCTGGCTATACTGAGGATTGAATCCAGAGCCTCATACATTCTAGGTAGGTGCTGTACACTGAACTCCAGCATTTTTTTTTTAGTACCGGGGATTGAACTCAGGACCTTGCGCTTGCCAGCCAGGCAGCAGAACCACTGAACCAAATCCTCAGCCCTCCAGCCTTTTTTTAATTTTAGTTTTAAAGATGGGATCTCACTAAGCTGCCCAGGCTGAGCTGGAACTTGAGCCCTTTCAGTTTTAGCCTCCTATTTGTCTGGTATTACAGGCATGTCCATTGTGGCCAGCTCAAACTCTGGAGTTTGCTTTTTGTTTGGTTGGGTTTCTTTTTTGTTGTTGTTGTTGTTGTTTGAGACAGGGTCTCACTATGAGGTTGAGACTGACCTAGATAGAACTCACATTGTAGACCAGGCTGGTTTCGAACTCACAGCGATCCTCCTGCCTCAGCCTCCCAAGTGCTGGGATTACAGGTGTGTGTCACCATGCCCAGCTTGGAGTTTGCTTTTTTTAAATTTTACATTTATCCAGGCATGTTGGTGCACACCTATAATCACCAACACTCAGGAGGCTAAGGCAGGAGGATCACTGTGAGTTTGAGACCAGCTAGGGCTACATAGTGAGTTCAAGACCAGCCTGAACTACATAGTGAGACCCTGTCTCAAAACAAACAAACAAAAGAGAATTTATTTTTAAATTTGCCAGATGGTGGCATGCACCTATATCTCCAGGGAGCTGGAGGATCTCTGGCAACCAGCAGGCAGAGGCTAGCCTGAGCAATATAGTGAGACCTCATCTCAAAAGTTTTTTTTTAAATGTTAAAATTTCTATACTATTTTTGTTCATGTCAAGTATGCAGTTTCCAGATTTTACCCCTTTTAAATTTAAGAACAGTTTTGGCTGTGTGTGATAGCTCGTGCCTATAATCCAAGCTCTCTGGAAGACTAAGGCAGGAGGTTTGCTGTGAATTTGAGAACATCCTGGGCTACATAGTTCAAGGCCAACCTGAATTACCTAGCGGGACCCTGTCTGGAAAAAAAAATTAGCCATATGTGGTGGCACATGCCTATAATCCTAGTACATGGAAGGTTAAGGCAGGAGGGTTTGGAATCCAAGGCCAGCCTGGGTTATATAATGAGACTATCAAAACAAACGTTGGCCAGGGATTTATTGCAGTAGCAAGGTGCCTTCCTCACAAGCATAAGGTCCTGAGTTTGATCCCGGTACCAAAACAAACAAACAAAAAAGTTAAGAAAACATCTTTGGAAAAACAAACAAAATACTCAACAATTTAAAATTTTTATTGTATATGTGCAAATTCTGGGCTTGGCTTCTTAAATAAAGTTCTTTTGTTATTTATTGCTGAGGGTGGGTATAGCTCAGTGGTAGAGTGCTAGCATGTGCCAGGCCCTGGGTTTATCCCCAACAGTCCAAACAACAACAACAAAGGAAGAAAACAAAGCTAGGTGTGCTGGTATACACCTGTAATCCCAGCACTCGGGAAGCTGAGGCAGGAGGATCACACAAACTCAAGGCCAGCTCAGGCTACATGGTGAGTTTACAGCCAGCCTGAACTCTATAGCAAGACCTTGTCTCACACCCCCAAAGAAAACACAACAGAAAATATTTAAGATATGAACATATTCACAGGGAAAAGTCTTGCTCCCATTCTCTAGCCCTTGCCTTCTTATAAGTAATCATTTATTCATTTTATAAATATATCCTTCAAATCTTCAACCATATCAAGCAAATATAAAGATATATTTTAATTCTCTCCCCCAGTTTTTAACCTAAAGGCAACACATGAATAACACTGTTCTACAATTTCTAAAAGTCTTCCCCATCAGTACATAGTGTCCCCATTCATTTTCCATGGTGAAAAAGTGACGGTTTAATCTGTCCCTGACTGGTGGACATTCAGTGGTCCCTGTGACTTCACACAGGCTCAGGCGATCTGCAGGCTCTGCTCCCGAGTGCTGCACTAGAGAGGTGACTCTCTGCCCTCCCATTAACAATGTGTGAGCACAGGCTTCTTGGACATGGTTGCCAGTCGGACAGGAGAAAGATTGTGAGTAAGGCTGAGCATGTTTCTATGCTTAAGAGCCATTTCATTTTCTTTCCCCCCCTTTTGTAATTTTTTTTTTTTTTTTTTTTTTGCTTTTACAAAAAAAAATATTTCTAGTAGCTCTTTATGTACTGGGGAGATTACGGGTCAGAAAGTGGGATTGCACTGTCTTGTTTAAAATGATTTTTTTGAGCCGGGTGTGGTGGCGCAAACCTGTAATCCCAGCACTCCGGAGGCTGAGGCAGGAGGATCTCTGTGAGTTTGAGACCAGCCTGGGCTACATAGTGAGTTCCAGGTCAGTCTCAACTACATAGTGAGACCTTGTCTCAAAAAACCAAAAAATAAAATAAAATGATTTTTTTGTGTGGTGCTAGGAATCAAACTCAAGGCTCCACACGTGCTAAACACACACTAAACTATACCCTCAGCCCCTTAAAGTGATTGTTTTTGGCAGTGCTGGGGATGGAACCCAGGGCCTCATACAGGCTAGGCAAGTGCTCCACTGCTGAGCTGAATACCCATCCCCTTTAAAATGATGATTTTGCGGGGGGCTGGGGATTTAGCTCAATGGTTCTAGCACCTGCCTTGCAAGCATAAGGACCCGAATTCGATCCCCAGTACAAAAAAAATTAAATAAAATGATTTTTTTTAGGGCTGGGGATTTAGCTCAGTGGCACTGCGCCTGCTTCACAAGCACAAGGTCCTGAGTTTGATCCCTGATACTGAAAAAAATAAAATGATTTGTGGGGGAGGACCAGGAATCAAACTCAGGGCTTCACACTTGTCAGACAGGCACTGTACTGCTGAGCTACATCCCCAGCAAAATGATCTTTTGTTTTTTTTGAGACAGGGTCTCACTATGCAGTTCAGGTTGGCCTTGAACTTGCAGTGATTCTCCTGCCTCAACCTCCCTAGCGCTGGGATTACAAGCATACACCACCATGCCCAACTGAAAATTTTTTTCTGGTACCAGGGATAGAACTCAGGACCTTGAACATGACAGGCAAGCATGGCACCACTGAGCTAAAATGATTTTTAAAGAAGAAAACAAAAACCGTGTTTGGTCACTTTTCACATGTGTCTTTTATCCCTTAGGGATGCCGTGAAGTCACAGAAATGTCCTTGGGCAGAGGATGGGTTTTGCTGAGACCCCATTGTCCTTGCTGAGTGGAACCATTACCTCTTTTTCTCCCACAGGGCTACGGCATGGCATATACTGTCCACAAGTGGTCCGAGCTCAGCTGGGCCAGTCACTGGGTCACTTTTGGATGTTGGATCTGCTATCGTCTCATAAGCTAATGCACAGGACCCCTCATAACCCCTCAAGACCCCTCCTCAGGGTGCCAGCTCTGATGAGGGATGAGGAAGGGCCCTCTACTCCAAACCACACTCTCCATTCTTGACCCCCAAACACTCGCCCTACACACACATACACACATACACACAGCATTCCCATGCCTGTCGATCCCCACAAGGCCAGAAGGGGTGATCCTTGCTGGGAATATGGATGGGGGATACTTGGGAAGCTGAGAGGGGGAGATCCAGGGCCTCCCTGCCTGCCTTCCTCCTTTTTATATAGTTTGTTATTGTCAAATAAAAGTAGAAATATACTATAGGGTCTTTCTTCACTGCTCAGAGGGGAGTAGGAGTGAGGAAAGGGGCACTGCACGAATAAAAAGTTTGGAAAGAAAGCCATCATGAGGTAGCAGACAGTGATTGGTGCATGGTTGATTTATAATTTGTGATTGGATGATGAGGCTGAGGATGGCAGGGTTCTGGTCCTGTTTGATTTGATTGAAACGGGAACAGACTGCATGGCTGGATGGGGGGGGCTGTTGCTAATTAGCCAGAAAACAGAGATTCCTATCCTGCTTGGTTGCTCTGAGTTAAGAGGGAAAGCAAGGCAGAGGGCGGAATGATAGTTATTAGTCCTCGGGACTGAAGGCTGTGGGTTCTAATGGAATGGAAGGTCTGGGGTGGGTCTGGATTTTGATCGAGTACCAGGTCTAGCTGCTCACTGGTTTAGCGTTTTGAATAGTGGTTGGCTCTTTAGAATTGGCATAGTTGAGTGTCTCCGTACCAATTGGCCAGCAGTACTGAGGGGCCTGGATTCTGACTGGGTGTTCTGAGTTGAGGTCGGGAGAGGCAAGAACGACAGCAACTCGAAGGACTAAGGAGTTCTGAGCCCTGAAGGGCTTAGGGGCCTGAGTTTCGCACGGCGCGGCGTGTGATCTGCCCGTCCTGTTCTAGCTTCCTCCCGTTAGGATTGAGACCTGGTCTGGCAACCGATCGGTTGCCTAGAAAACCACAGCTGAGGTGAAAGAACCACGCAATGCCGCCTCAACAGAAAACGCAGAGAATGTGCATCTTAATTACACCCTCCCCAGTGATCGATTAGCGTAACGTGGAAATCCACACCGTCTGCAGATTGACCACCGGCTAAAAACGCCCACCAACCTGCTCCTGACTGGGCCTTAGCCAACCACGAGATGGCACCAGGGGGCAGTCGGCACACGGAGGGCTCTTATTGGCTGGAGACCCCCTCCCGCCTGCGCATTGGCACGCTCCTTTAAACGGAGAGGAGGGCCTCCCGAGAGCCACCTGGAGCGTCGGGAGTCCTTGGGGAACCGCAGCTGCAGTCGTGCGGCTCAGGTGAGTGCCCCCGGCTGCTGGCGAGCTTGGTTCTCAGTGCCCCACCGCTCAGCAGCCGGCTCTCAGCCTTCCTCCCGGAGCCCCCGGCCCCTCGAGGGTGTCCGGGCGACCAAAGGCCCGCCCTCTCTTCGGCCCCAGGGCGGACGGGTCCTGACTGATTGGTGGGTTCCTGATGGAGCCTCAGCCTTTCGCACTCTTCGTATGGGTCGTCAGCGTTGTGTGCTATCGCGGGGCGGCTCTGGCTTTCCAAACGCTGGGCTGGAGCTCAGGTTAGTCTCTCGCCGGATCCGCTGTGGTTTCCAGGACCCCGACAGAAGGAATAATAGCTTTCCGTTGAACTGGTTTTTTTGTTTGTTTGTTTTTGAGACTAAGTCTTGCTATGTAGTCCAGGCTGGCCTTGTCCTCATCACATCCCAGGCTAGCCTCGAACTCACAGCGATCATGCTGCCTCAGCCTCTCGAGTGTTTTCCGTTCAACTGTGCAAAACACTGGGCTCTACCATAGTCCCAGACCTGATTCCTGTGCCTTGCCACCAAACTGAGCCAGCCTGAGTGCTGGGACCTGGTTTAGTGACAGTGACTCCCCTATCACACTGTGACAAATGAGGACTGGGACCAGGCTGGGTTCCTGTGTGTCCCTCCTGTAATTACAGCTCTCAGAGGGCTGGAACAAACTTTCAGTCTTTGTGTGGCCTTATATTTTAGTCATGTTTTTAGCAGCATGCAGTTTGATTAACTTTTTTCTTTAATTTTAAAATTAAATTGTTTTGGTTTTATGAGACAGGATCTCACTATGTAGTTAGGCTGACTATGAACTCATTTTGTAGCTCAGGCCAGCCTGGAACCTGGAGTGAGCTTCCTGCTTTAGCCTCCTGTCTCAGCCTCCTGAGTACTCCAATCACAGGTATGCACCACCATGCCTGGCAAGATTAGATTATTTTTAATCCAAGCTGGATGTGGTAGCACACTCCTGTAATCCCAGCCATCTGGGAGGCTGAGACAGGAGAATTACTAGTTTAAGCCCAGCCTAAGCAATTTAGAGAGACCCTATCTTATAGTAAGTCTGTTAACTGGTAAACTCAGTTTCATTTTTCATAGTAATTATCTCACTCTGCTTTCTATTTGTCTAGGTTTTTCGGTTCCTTTTTTTCTCTCTGTCCGCGTGCAATCATCAGCCCATAGAGACATGGCCAGCACCAGCACGGGTCCCACACACCCATACTGGCCTCGGCACCTGAGGCTGGACCACTTTGTGCCTAATGACCTTCCCGCCTGGTATATCCTGACGGCCATGTTCTCCGTCTTTGGGGTACTAGCTGTGACCATGTGGCTGTTGTCCAGTCGTGCTTCAGTTGTCCCACTGGGGACATGGCGGAAACTGTCCCTGTGCTGGTTTGGGATGTGCGCATTCATCCACCTGGTGATTGAGGGCTGGTTTGCTCTCTACCATGAGGCCATTCTTGGAGATCAAGCCTTGTTATCCCAACTCTGTGAGTCACGGATTTTCATACTGGGTGGGGGTGGGTGGGCTCTGGGCCCGGGTTGGCTTGGATTTTACTCACCCATCAATTCCTCCATTCATCTCTTAACATTTTGTGTAACCTTTTGAATATATATTCTCATGGGTGGAAAAACATTTAAGCCAGGTGTAGTGGCAGAAGCCTGTACCTCATCACTTGGGAGGCTGAGGCAAGAGGATCACTGTGATTTCAAAGCCAGACCAAACTGCATAGCGAGACCCTGTCTCAAAAAAAAAAAAAAAAGAAAAGAAAAACATTCAAAGATATATGTTTTTAAAACCTGCCTTGTGTCTATCAAGTTGTCTCCAAAACTATTAACAACTGTTAATTTTGTTTCAAAATTAGGCATGGTAGTGCATGCTCTCTGAGAGACTGAGAGGCAAAAGATCACAAATTCAAACCCAGCCTGAGTAATTAGAGACTTAGTGAGATCCTGTCTCAAAATATAAAAATAAAAAAGGTATTTGTTTCTGCGGCTGGAAATGTAGCTCAGTGGTAGAGTGTTGCTTAGCATGCCTGAGGTCCTGGATTCACTCCAGCACCAACAGAACAATTGTTTGTTTCCCTCTAAGTTTATTTGCACATAAATTACACACAGAAACTTCAACTTGCTCAATTTTATTTTGTCTGCTTTGAGACAGGGCCTTGCGCTGTAGCCTGGGCTGGCCTTGAATTCACTATGTAGCCCAGGCTGGCCTGATAATGTCAGTGACCCTTGGCCTCAGCCTCTCTAGTGCTAGGACTATAGACACACACCATCAAGCACGGCAGTCTGCTCAGTTTTAAAAGGGTGATAGTAAAGCCAGGCAGAGTAGCATTTACTGTAATCCCCGCTACTTGGCTGATGTGGGAAGACCTCAAATACAAAGGCAGCCTAGGCAGTGTAGTGAGCCTCTGTCTCAAAATTTAAAAACAAAAGGGGGCGGTTGGGGATGTAGCTAGCTCAGTGCAAAGGCCATGGGTTCAATCCCCAGTACCACTAAATAAATAAATAGTAAAAATAATAAAAATAAAAAGAGCTGAGGATTTAGCTTTGTGGTATAGCACTTGCCTAGTGTGTGAGGCCCTGGGTTCCGTCCCTAACAGCACAGATAGAAGGAGGCATTTCATAGCAAATGTTCAATGTATATAAGGTACCTAGAACAGAGGCAAGCAGCAGATGCCACGTAATTGTTTTTTGTTTTGTTTTTGAGACAGGGTCTTGCTATGTGGTTCAGGTTGGCCCCAAACTAATGGCAATCCTACTGCCTCAGCCTCCCGGTTGCTGGGATTACAGGAGTGCATCACCATGCCCGGCTTGCCATGTAATTGTTTATCACCATTTTATTATTTTTTGCTTTTTTACATGAGGTCACTCCTCATTTCATAAAGAGCTTGCAAAGCATAGGGGCTATAAACTCTTTGACTTGTGCAGTACTGAAGGGCAGCCTTACTTGCTGTGTTGACAATACTCTGGCCTCATGAATAAAGCTGCTATGAACATTCTAATACATGTCTTTTTGTTGATCTCTGCTTTCATGTCTCTTGGATAAATATATAGAAGAAGAATAGCTAGGTCTTATGGTAGGTACATATACAACTTTATGAAAAACACTGGGGGCTGGGGTGTAGCTCAGTAGAGTGCTTGCCTAGCATTGAGTGAGGCTCTGGGTTTTGTGTCCAGCACCACAAAAAACAAAAACAAAAACCTACCAAACTGTTTTCAAAAATGGTTTCTCCATATTCTATTCCCACCAGCAGAATAAGAGAGTTCTAGTTCCTCTGCATCCTCACCGGTGCTTGATATGGTCAGGTGTTTCCTAAACTTTAGTCATTCTAGTGGATGTGAGTGATAACTCCTTATGGCTTTAATTTGTTTTTCCTTACTGATTATTGAAAGTTTGAGCACTTTCCTACCTTAATTGGCCATTTGGCAATCCTTTTTTGTGTGTGTGCGAAGAACTTATTCAAGTTTGCTGCTTCTTTTTAATATTTTACATTACTGGGAATTAAATCCAAGCCCTTCACACTGAGCTACATCCCCGGCCCTTTTTCCCACCTTTACTCTTCATATCTGTTCTCTTTAGGGAAAGAGTACGCTAAGGGAGACAGTCGATACATCATGTAAGTGTGGCCTGCGCTGGTCTGGGGAAGTGGTGAGTTGGGGTGTGCTCATAGGGTGCAGTGTGGGCAGAGCACGCTGACATCAGTGTCCCTTCCCTATCCTTCCACAGCAATGACAACTTCACCGTCTGTATGGAGAGCATCACAGCTTGCCTGTGGGGACCACTGAGCCTGTGGGCAGTGATCGCCTTTCTCCGCCAGCAACCCACCCGCTATATCCTACAGCTGGTGATCTCTGTGGGTGAGGAGAGAGCCTACACTGGCACTAGAGGGGGGTGTGTCTCCATGGTGGTGTCTATCCCAGGGTGCACCAGAATGGCAACGCCCTGGAAGTTCCAGAACAGCCATGCTCCCTCTGAGCCTGCCTCTCAAGAGGGGAGGGTTCATTTCTCCCCTTTCTCCATCACAGAATCCCCTGTGAAGATTATATGAGGTGGCTGTGCTAGCAAGAAAACCTCCAGATCCCCTAGGACCAATGTTCTCAGCTCGTTTATCTGAGATTCGGTCTTTCTTATGCTCTTGAATTGTTAGCTTTCTCTGGTTCTGGATCTGTGGCTTCTTCTTAGTCCTGGAATCCCAAATTGTCTCAATTTTAAGATTTTTATTAAATTCCTTCAATTCTTGCTGGATGTGGTGATGCACGCCTGTAATCCCAGCACTCAGGAGGCCAAGGCAGGAGGATCACCATGAGTTTGAGGCCAACCTGGGCTACATAGCAAGACATTGTCTCAAAATAAAAAAAAAAAATATACCAGGGATT